TTCATTCTCCATGTGCTCTCTGCCCTCTCTGAAGCACTTACACCACTCAAACACACGGGTCCGTGAGAGACACTCTTCCCCATACTGTTGTTGGAGTCTGTGGTGAATTTCAGTGGACTGGACGTTTTCTCCAACGAGGAATTTGATCACAATGCTTTATTCCACACTCCGCAGTAGCTTCTGTTCTCTCATCACTCTAGCAACTTCCAGACAGGACTGAACAGGTTCTAACCCTAACAGGAGGGAGGGTGGAGGTTGTGGCTTCACTCTCGCAAGATCGAACAGCTGCTGCGAAATGTGGCTTGTTTACAAAAATATCAGTCACAGTCATATTTGAACTTCCTTGTAAATATAAATGTAAATATATTATGATAATGATAAGGAAAGCAGCCACTGTGTGAGGAATATGTACAGTTTTTTTTTTTCTGTTAAATGCCGTGACATAAATTACTGTGGCATTATAATCTTTGTTTTGTTATGAACACGTGCTTTGAATTTTATTTGTGGTCTAATTAATGGAATATTGTCAAGACAGTTTACATTCAGCTGCATTCAGTGAGACGTAATAGACTGGCCTTGGAAGATGAGGGTCAGTATTTTCAGCCTGCATAGTATGTGGTAGGGATAAGCATTGAGAGAGTGCTAAAAATATACCTTTTGAGTCCAACCTAAAATAACTTTGGGAGGGTGCCTTAAGTATCACACCATGTCACTTCTGGTTGTACAGTAATGAGGCTGTTGGGTGTTGGAGTGGTTGCTGCTGTGTCTTTGTGTTCCTATTGAGACTGAGATGGCTTCTGGTAAGGGGAAACTGTCTTATCCTTGCAACATGACCAACCAATATCTGTATGGTTTTCTGAGGATTAAACAGATGATAAACATATCAGTTCTGTTCTCAGATATCGTCATTATGGAATTTCTTCCTATCATTATTTGTGATAAATATATATGCTCTTTTAAGTATTGGGACACTGTTCCATTTAACATGTGGAAACGGTGTGTTTGTACCATCAATTGGCCATGGTATCCAGAGAGTTCAATTAGCCATGTGGGAAGTGAATGGGTGAATATATATTGTGTCTTTTCCTCATTGGTCTGAGCTCCTGCAAACTTCTTTGGTCAGGGGGCACATGACTGTAAGAAGCCATCCTTTATTCTGTTACATCACAGTTCACTCACTCAGCTTAACCCATTAAATCTCAGTGGTTACTATACATATCACCTGCATTAACCTACAGAAAATCTTCATTTTTCCACGGAGAGTATGTTTGTGTGTTCCATATGGTTCTCATGATAGACAGTGGTTATTTCCTTAAAGAGCATAAACTGGTTAGTCTTTGTAAAAGACATAGCGTGTTTTCTGTGTGGTACAAACTGAAATCTTATAGGTATATTATATATGTACATACAGTAGAACTTGGTTATAACGTCATCAAAGGGACCTAAAAATAGTGTCGTTATAAACGAATGTCGTTGTAACCGAAATGGGCACTTCCACAGTAGCCTTATGTTAGTCACGTAAAAATCTACCAAAAACCGAGTTAAAATGTTGCATTTTTTAGTGAAATACGTAGTTAAGTACAGACTAACGTAACATTAACGTGGAATTGCCCAAATGTGTAATATCAAAGACATATTACAGCGCTTTTCACTGACAATACACACCGCACTAATACTGTATATTAAAGGTAGGCCTACTCACCAAATTACAGTAGATTACATCAATTGTTGTGCCTTACTGTACCTAGATACGAGTACAGTAATCAGTTATCTTCATCTGTTTCCTGTTACTTGCCCAATACACACTTTCTAAATTACGTTCAATGTCCATATCAGAGAAATTCAGGAATGAAAATGACGTTACATACGAGGTTGATGCATTTGTGCATGTCGTACTAAGCAAGGTATAAAAACAGTTGCTTTATGAGGAATTAGTTCGTACCATTGAATATTTGACGCAATAGACAAGGTGTCGCAGAAACCGATGTTGCTATAACCAAGTTTTACTGTACATTTCAGTCTGTAAATAGTATTATACTCATATCAAAGTTTTGATTTTTTCCTTTTCTATTACAATTTTAGTATTGTTAAACTTTGAAATTCACTGTAAGAAATTACAGAATTAACTGTACTGGAGATATAATGAATCTAATATAGAAATATAGGATTTTTTTTAATTGCTAGTGGAGTGGGACTAAGTCCCTTGTACTGTGGCCACTTCTGGCATATTGTACCAGCCCCAGATGATAGGTGAGGGTGATTGTGGAGCAGTTGGTGGAATGAAGATTGGCAGGGGAAACCGAAGTACTCGGAGAAAACCTGTCCCAGCGCCATTTTGTCCACCACAAATCCCACTTGACTAGACCCGGGATCGAACCCAGGCTGCCGCGGTTGGAAGCCAGCGACTAGCCACTTGAGCTATGGTGCGGCCCTTTAAACATAGGATTACTACCAGTTATACTTTGAGGATGGAAGGCAGATGGAATGGGCTGTCCAGTGGTGAGTGAAATAAATTTTCAGTTCTTTTGAATACGCATTTTGATTGTAAGTTAATGATTCACAATCTCCTTCTCGTATTTTAATGGCAAAAATTCTTATGTGCAATTGAACTTGCATATTAAAGAGAAAATTTTAAATGGAAAATAGATTACATAAAATCTGTTATTAATATAAAAATCATTTTTCTAGCATAAATAGTTATTAGCATACTTAAAACAGCATGAGTTTGGATAAAACTGGTGCTTTGTAAGGGGCTGAAGTGCATTCTTTTATCTTGAAGTTCACATATTCGCGAATGTTTCAAAATATTGTGCTCTCGGAGAGTGATGGACTGACCTTGTTGCATGATGAGGAAGTTTACAATTTGTGCAGAAAATCTGATTTCTTTCAAGATATTTCGGTAATTGAAGTTATAGTGCAAAAAGGATGTTGTTCCACTTTAACAGACATTTGGAAAACAGCAAGAAACTTTCTTGTCCTTAAGTTTTTCATGGTTGGAATGTAATATATGGCTTTCGGCATGCAAGTATATGCTGCACAGACTGGTGAAGGTTTTCTAGTGTTTTGACAAGCATTGCAGTTGTCATCTTCAGGGTTAATATGCTTGGATATTGTGGTTGCTTTTTTAATAGCAGTGGATGGTGTTGTAAAGCTGAAGTGGTTATTGGACAAAACAGAGGTGCTGGGTGCTATAGAGTAGGGAGTGACCACGTGGTTAGTTAAATGCTATATTTAACAAATATTTCATTCTGTTCATAGTTGCAACCTAATATCAACATGCATTATTTTCCTCTATTTAGTAAATTTAAATTTAGTAAATAGCCTGCATTTGGTGTGAAATCTTCAACCTTTCAGAACTTGAATCTAAATTTAATGTGATTATGTTCGAAACAACAGGCAGTTTTCACATTTCCTCTCTGCTAGAAGTTGTTACCAGACAGCCATAACATTTGTCAGGTGACGTCACATTATGAATATGCATCAAAACCATGCCATTTTCGGTATTGTGGTAGGGTATAGTTGATGCATTCTGGTTATTTTGATGTCTCATTTATTTATGTAGAAACAGCTTCTGTAAGAACTCGTGTAAAGAAATTATTGTACCATAATTGTATATATTATATCTCATAAGAAGATGAATAGTTTCATGGTGTAATTTTATGTAAGCCTCATTTTCCAAAGACCTCTGTTAGTGCAATAAAAGCCATTCCCCCAGAGTTACATTACAAACTTTGAAGAAGGAATAAAATTTAAATTAAGAAATTAAGAGTTTTCATAGAATTAAAGAAGATTTGGAACAAGGATTCAGATGGGGCACGACACATGAGGATAGATGGGAATTTGGATGTATAGCTTCACATATTCTTAGCCTTGGCACTGGATGGAGGTGAGTGGCCAACTTTATTCCCTAGAGAAATAGCACCCATCACCCATTGAATAGATGAAGGGTGGCCACCAGAGCCAGTCTGAACATTGGAGAAGAGAAAAGTCCCTTGCCACTGCCAGGAATTGAACCATGACTCCTCAGTCATCCACCCCATAGCCAAGTTGCTATACTGACTGAACTTGGTAGAAAGAAAGTATGCACAGAATGTCTCAGGGAAATCCTCTTGGGAATAAAGAGTGAGAAGGATGTAAGGGAATGATCATAAGGATTTATTCTCTGAGGATATTAACCAGGATTGTGTCTGACAGTGTTTACTGTTACATTTTTCCTTCTGTTACTTGAAAGTTTTTTTTAGTTGGTTATGTAATATTATGTATGTACCATAGGGAGACCAGTGGGAAGTGGGATCTGGCTGATGACCAAGTAAAACAGAAGCTTTTTGCTACAGTAGGTTCCATGTAATATGGTGCAAGACACAGAGGTGCCTAGAATTATGGCAGTGATGCTGTCAGATAGTTACACAGCATGTGGGAGGGGAGAGACAAATCAACATGATGATAATGTAAACAGACTCCATAAAGCTGAATACTTCTTCAGTCGCTAAGCTAATCAGGATTTTTTGGTATAGGTTCAATACCATGTTCACTGGGCCCTATCCTGAGTCAGATTAATCTGTCGGGTATTCTGCCTTTCTGTTTCTTTATGATCCATGTAATATTATCTTTTCCTTTCTTCCAAGTGGTCTCTTCTGTTAGGTCTTTCACTAAAATTGTGTATGCAATTCTGACTTCTCTCACTTATTCTACGTGTCCCATCCATCTTATTCTCCTTGATCAGGTCATCTGAAGAATATTCAGTGAGGAGTCAAACCTCAAACTCCGTGGCCTGTAGTCCGCAAGTGAACAATGCTGACCAAGCTACTGCCACTTCTCGGCAAAGCTAGTGCTGAGTGGACCCCATTGCAGACCCAGTACTTCTTAGAAAATCTGGTAGCGCTGGGAATCGACCCTGGACCTCTGAATCTGTAGGCAGGAACTCTGGCCACTAGACCACAAAGGTGGTCCGCTCAGTGAGGAGTACACATGAAGAAGCCCTGTAACCAAAAGTGAAACTAAGGATTTTCACTTAATGAAAAATTGATGGCTTGATGTTGGGAACAGTGATGTATGTTTGAAAGACATACAGTGCCACTTCTAAGGTTACATGTGTCATTTTCTTCACACGGCGTCTGCATATTAATTTGCCTTGCATAGCGGATACTTGTTGCACGTTTCATGTTTCCTGGAAAACCATCACCATGTTTGTTGGTCTGTGTTGCATTTTATGTCACTTCCAGTGTATGAACCTTTTGTTTCCTCATAGGTTACCTTGGACTGGCAGCCCTCATCAGACATGGGACACACTCGAACACGAAAGACAAGTAATACTCAGTCAGCGTTGCTTGACTACTATGATCTTGGTAATATCACCACAATTACTATACAGACATTTTCTGTGATCACATGTTAACGGAGTCTATTACTGGTGTTTATTATTACAGATTATGCAACAATTGTTAGGTTTTTTTTAACTGGATGTCATGATGAAGTCTCTATGCCAAAAAAACAAAATATGAATTAGAGAATTGTTTAAAGCTTTTCACAGTAAAGGCTGTGGTCTCCAGGTATGTGTAGCCTAGTAAATGGTTACTGACATATTGGAGAAACCTGCTGTTTCTCTTTTCAGGTTTCATTTCTTTTGCTCTCAAGATGCAGACAGTACTTTCCTCCAAAACAGTGGTAACCGTCTGGCAAGCAGACTACACACACATCCCAGAACACTGCAGTCTTAATATGTGCTGCCTTGAGAACTCCAAATCTAAAATTTTCCCACGTGGAATGTCTTAAATATCTTGCTGTCCCGGGTGTTTGAACCATTTGCATAAACATTTGTTATTCAGAATTAATTTCAGTTCCACTTTATTGGTGTGCCACACATTACCGTCACCTAAATAGCAAATATTCCACTGTCTTTTGTTCTCCTCAAATGCCACATTAATTGTTCTGAGTTTGATCCCAGGTTCCTCTTAGCCTGCATCCCTATGCACTTGAACTTTGTGATGAGAAATATGTATCTGTCCATAACCATTAAATTTTTGTCTGTACTAAGTCAGTTTGCAAGCAGCCTCCGTAGTCTAGAGGTAATGTTCCCACCTCATGACTCGTGGTACGCGGGTTCAAAAACCCGGCGGAAGTCGTCGAATTTTTAAGGGCGGAAAAATTCAGGGAAGAAGTCCTCCGGGAGGGACTTTAAGCCGTGTGTCCTGTGTCATAGCTTTACGGCACGTAAAAGAACCTCATATCTCCAAAGGAGGTCACTGAGCCAAATTCAAGGACGTTTCCCGCCCAACAGTAGTCTCTAATGCCTCTGATAGATGGGGGAAGCATTATAGACACCACCAAGCCAGTGGAAGCCAAATCGCTGGCTCGGCGGGACTGATGGTACGCACCAATATCGGTAGGGTATAGAGACTGGTAGAATATCATAGAGGGAAGCACAATGGACCAATACTGGTCTAAGTGCATGGGGAAACCCACCCTCTCCAATAACTAACTAACTAAGTCAGTTTGCTGAGTAAGTGGATGTTGTCTCACATTTTATTGAAACTTTGTTAACTGAAGTGTTTGATGTCGGGTTAGTGTTATTTATTCATTTTGTAGTGACACATTCTTTCTGCTTCCCCAGGACCTGAAGGAAGTTCAGTACATGACAACGGCAGATTTGCATCACCTCATTACTCTCATGCTGAAGAGCAGGTAACAGCCAGTTAAAGTTTTTTTTTTGTTACATTGAACAAGGAAGAATAACTAATTTAATTTAATGTGCATTGTATTCTCAGAGCACAGGATTCTCAGTTGTATGTTGTTTCCATGTATATAACATAATTGTTAAACATTTAAGATTTGTATATTATTATTATTGTTTTTGTTTTTGTTGTTGTTGTTGTTGTCATCATCATCATCATCATCCTCCCCTTTTTACAGTCCTCCAAATGGTCTGCTTTCCTGGACATTTCCCACCAATATTCTCATTTAATTTCTTATCATCTCCATCTGAATAACATGTGTACTGGGGCCATGAAACAAAGTGCATGGATTTATGCACTCTTGATTCCACCAAGCTTTTATGCTTCCCAATTTTTTCTCTCCAGTTATCTAGCCAGTTTGTTCATACCACTGATGGTAGGGATAACCTTCTCTACCATCAAGTTATTTGTGGTCATTGACATAGGACATATGGACATGGAGGGGAGCACAACAATGAGCAGAAAGGCAGAAACCACAAATGCTCTCATCACCACCCTCCGTGGCACTTCTTGCCACCCCCTCAGTATAGTCCATACCATAAGAATGCCCTGTGATCTATACAAATCACAGAGGTCATGAAGTAATTGACAGTATCATCATTTCCAGTACTAGATGGGTTGAGCCCATTTATGGATATTACAAAACAGAATCTGTCCATTTCTGAGATCTCCCCCAAACTTCTTTTCCCCTTTGGTTCTTCTTAATCCTATCCTGTTCTTTCCAGTTCTAGAGTGTTCAGCAAATCACGTTATTTGTAATTCTGGCACAATTTCTTATGTTGTCTAGTGTTGTAAAGTGACCCTTGTCTTGTACATTCCTGAGTATTTCTTCTGATCCCATCAGAGATACAGTATAAAATATGTGTTATTTAGTAGGATAAGATATTCCTGAGATTCCAGATCTCACTTCTCAATTTTGTGTTGTTGTAAGCAAAACAACAATCAATATTCCCATTTTCTCTCTGCTGGAAATTGTTACCACATGCTCCAAAGGCACGCTGCTCATGGAATCACGGTTGCATTGATACTTGACTGAGGTGCTTTCAGTGTCTATTTCATATGTCATTGATTAGATTTAGAAATTAATTTGATTTATTATGTAATTGTGTTTGTTTGTGTAGATAACAGTTTCTTAACTACTTACATGAAGAAATGATCACATTTGTACACAGTAAGTCATATAAGAAGATGAACATCATCTAGACATAATTTTGCATAGTCGCTCATAGAGTGAACGTTTCAAGAAACGCCATTCCTCCAGAGGTTCAGTAAATACTCGCTTCAGTGAAATTTACTATCATTCAGAGCAGAGGCGCAAGTAGTGACAACATATTTGTCTCTTGCTGCAGCAAATGGCATGGGGTGTAATAAATCGCTGCTCCCAAGAAGTGAATGGGCATAGTGAGGGTTCAGCCTCTACATCAAGTAGCTCAAGGCGGAGCAGAACACCTCGTAATGTTCTGTCAGATCACAGGAGGAAGAGTAACAATATTACCAAAATGGTAAGTCCACCAAAGTTACGGTTTTGTATACAGTGGGACCCCCAGATTAACATGTTCTCATTTAACATTCAGGTTTGCTGATCTGAAGTCAGTAGGCTCAGTGTTAAATTTCTTCAGTATAAGATTCTTCTCAGGGGCACACAGTAGCATAGTTGATTGAGACACTATGCTACAAACTGGAAGGTCATGGGTTCAATTCCCAATGAGGTCATTGGATCTTTTCAATTGACCTAATTCTTCCAGCCGCACTGTGGCCCTGGAGTCGACTCAGCCTCTAACAGAAATGAGTATCAGCAATCTTCCTGGGGGGGGGGTAAAAGGCAGTCTATGCCTAAGGCTGACAAACTTACCTCCATCTGTGAGCCGATTATCCAGAGAAAATGCGACAGCCTTGACGTCTCATAACCCTATGGGCCTTCATGTCCTGTTACAGGGATAGCTTTACTTTTCTTTTAAGATTGTTCTCAGTTCAGTGTTTGAATCCACTGCTCCCTGAGAATAATAAATGGGGTTTAATTGTATTTTAAATGTAGATTTTTAAATCTGTTAAATAATTCTGAGGAGAATGTTTTGACTCAAGAATGTTAAAGTAATAAGAGAATGGATAAAATTATATAACAGAAAATTTCACAGTTTATACCTTTCATTTAACAGTATTTTGATGATTAAGTAAAAAAGGAAAATACAACATATACTGTGGAAAGTAAGAAATTCTTACAGAAACTGAAGAGATAGATAACTTGAGACACATAGGTGTAGATGGGAGGATAATATGAAAGTGAATCTGAAAGAACTGCAGAGTTAAAGAAGTAACTTTGTGAAGTTGTAAACTGGATTCAGATGGTGTAAGGTAATGGTCAGGGTCGTGCTTTTGTGATGTTGGTGATGAGCTTTGGTATTGCATAGTAGGAATTGTCTTGACCAACCATGTAATTGCGTCTGCTCATGGGGAGCCATGTGCTATGGAGTTAAGTTTATTAACCTTTCAGTCACTTAGTTGGTTAATTGGTCTGTATTGATTGTTTTGTATTTATTTCTTTCAGCCTGATAGAAATCAAGTTGTTTGTCGCTTGAATCAAATCCGTGATTACATCAAACAGACGTCTTCTCTGATGGACACACTGAAGAATTCAGGGGACCCGGTAAGTTTTAAACTAAATATTGTTTTGAATCGATAGAAATCAAATTTACAAATAGCATGAGTTATGAGGATGTGGTAAGGTATCAAATTTGACAGTTGAGTGGTTCACACTCCTTCATATTTGAAGCACTGCAGGTTAAAATCCCAGCCTGGAAACCATCTATCCTGATTGATGTTTTCATGGTTTTCTTCAGTCCCACCAGGAGACTGCTAAGATGATGTCTCAAATTAGTCCATGACTGTTTTCCATGTCCTGACTAATCAGCCTACCATTTGCTGTTACATATTCTGAGCTACTGCCAGTGGCAACTGCTTGCTAGCAAGCAAAGTCAGGATGCCCCATGTGAGTGGGTGACTATTTTTCAAGCCCTAGACAATGGTGTATGTAAATGGAGCATTATATGAACATGTAACATGCTCCTGTATTAAGTTGATGGGTTTTGTTTCACGTTAATCAATCATCATCATCATCATCCTTTCCAGTACTAGGCCCATTGGGACCTTTGTTGTGGATACTGCAAAACAGAATCCTTCTGTTATTTCAGAGATCTTACCAAATTTCCTTTTCTTTGTGATAGATGTTTTAAGATATTTTTTGGAATGTTAATATGTTATTTCACATTTCATCTTTATCTTGAATTTGTTGTTCTTGCAACAGTAACTATAAGTGTAAGTTTTCTGTTCTATAAATCCTGTTTGTGGAAATTGTAAGTCTCTTATAATGCTTCTGCCCCCCCTTCAAACATTCCAGTTGATTGTATCATGCAGTGTTCCTCATGAAACACATTTCTGCTGATAGTTTCTTGTTACTATCCGTGATTCACTAACTTAAGTTAGCTTTTGTGTAGCAAGTGTCAGTAAGTATGTGTGTTTGTTTGCATGGAAGCTAATGATGGTTTGGAGATGAACTGTAATTTTGTACAACTTTTCATTCGTCTGTAAATCGTGGACTGGTAAGAATCATAGGTGTATTGTGACTGGTTGCTGTTGATTACATAGCGCCACATAGCCCAGTATCACAAGTTGGCCAAGATGGTGTCAGAGCTGAGAGAGAGTGAAGGGAGGCTCCAGGAGTTCCTTCCATCTTTGGAGAAGGACCTTGAACCCAAGACCCAAGAAAATAAATCAGGGACAGCTGTAGCAGAGGTGACAGCAGCTTGTATTGTGTGCTTCCTGTGTGTCACATCGAATGAAACCCATAGCTTCTAAACAGTAGAAGTTTTCAGGCTTTAGGAAACAAAGCCAAGTGCATGTGGTTCAGTGCTCTGAGTGAATGCTGACACTTTTCCCAGAGCCAAAGGTTTGCACTGACATTGATCCACTAACATTGTGATTTTGTGATTATAAAAAGCATACTGTGTGTAAGTTATCAGGAGAGTGGTACCATGTTGGGGGGGGGGCACAGTTGGGTCCCAAAACTACCTCCAGAAAGCTCAGATTGGACTGTGAATGTTATTAATTTTGCAGCTTAGTTTCTATTTCCTTTTCATATATCCACATGTCATTATCATCTGCAATTACACCATGTATGGGGAGCCAGGAAAGCTCAGTTGATGTAGTGATGGGCTACATGCTGGATGACTGGGATTCGATTCCCAGCAGGTGTAAGAGATTTTTCTCTCCTCCACAGCATCCAGACCAGCTCTGGGGCCTACCCAGCCTTCTGCACAGTGCATACAAGGGGCTCCTTCCCCTGGGGTTAAGTGGCCAGGGTGTGAAGCTGACCACTCACCTCTGCCTAGTGTGGAGGTAAAGAATGATGGAGCTACACCTCCAATCCTCATGACATTGTCATGGCATAATGCTTAATTAAGCACAGGAACAACTTTAGCTTTACCTAATAATATTAAGTAAATATCATCGGCTTGTGAAATGTTTATGACTTTTTGAAAATAAAATAGGCAAAGAAAGGTTTTGTCAGCTTGAATGTTCCCCATCAACTCGTCTGACAATGGGAAGTTTTGTTCTGTGCACTGTCCTTTAAGCTGCCCCATAAGTAAGGTTCACATGGAGTAAGATCAGACAGACCTCCACATCAGTAAGCATACTGCAATTCATTGTGGGTGTCTTGATGAGAAGTTCTTACTTCCTGGATATCTATTGTGCTTGGAACTGTGACCTTGGGAAGTATTTTCTTAATTCTACATAGCAGAACAATGCTGTTCTGACTGGCATGGCATAAAACGGCCAGGGCATGAAGCTAATCACTCACCTGCATCTAGTCCTGAGATTAAGAATGTACGGATCTATACCTTCAATCCCTCGTGTCTTCATAGCATGGTGCTTAATTAAGTCATTGCACACTGCATACTGACTAGATGTGCTTGGAGTGCTTGTGTTAAAACCTCCACAGCCAAAGGGATTGACTCATTGTTAGAGTAGGATTTCTGTTAATAGATGGCATCAGGTGTGAAATATCCGTATTTAGAAGAAAGAAGGAGATTTCGCATTGAATATGCATTTTATTGTTTGGTTAAGAATTGTGCAAATTAAATTAAGTAAATTAAAACCAGATATTTGATAGCTAATGTTAACACTCACTGAGAATTCAACAGGAATGCTCATCATTTCTTATGTAAGCTTTTGAACTACTCCCCAGCTTCTCCCATATTCCTTCCCAGTCCTGCATAGTACCTGACACTACTTCTACACTGACATTTAATGCCATCTCTCACAAGCAATCAGTAGTAAACCATCCTTTATATAGTGTACTGCACTTCTCATATCCACATAAAAATATTATCAGCACTCAGAATAAGTACCATACACTGAAACAAATGACTACTCGGTCATTCATGACTTAACCACATAACTTACGTTCATGCAACATGTTCATGTTTAACAGTTCGTTGCTATGGTAACCATAAGTTGCACAATTTCAGAGCTTTCATCTTACAGGTACTCTGACTTCATATACATATAGGAGGAAATATAATTGTATCACAGTTCACTGTGAGAATACAAAACCAAGCAACTGACTTTCTATGGATGGCACCATTGCACAGTACAGTCTGTTCCCAATAATGGGCGCTTTAAATGAAGCCAGCACAGTTTAGACAGTACACATTGCCTGAGCATGAGATGTGTTGTTGTTGTTGAGAGAGCTGAGGCGATGTCTGCTTGCAGTGTGGCTCTGAGGTGGGAAGCTCCATGACGGACCTGCCAAGTATTGGTGTAAACTCACATACCAGTCCAGTTCCACCTGGAGGGGGCAGGAGAGCGGCTGATGGCTCTACCGGTGGCAGATCTCGTTCTGAAGAACTTGTACGTATCTATGAGATGGGCAGGCAAAAAGGTTTCAGTGTCTTCTCTTATTTTATAAGGCTAATGGCATCGTGATCATGAGTCTATCATCCACTAACAACTTTTGAGCCAGTTCTGCCATAACAAATTAACAAGAATAGGTTGTCTCAGGCCCTCCAGGCAGGCATTCAGTAATGTCTTGATTAGGTCATGGCCTCCTCTTCTTTCTAAATCCTTTCCAGTGTTGTAAAATATAGATACCCACAGCAGCATCTGGTAACCCCCATCCATACAAAGTAATCTTTTTTTCTAACATCATTTCTCTTAATTAATGGCTTCCAGGACCTGTCAACCATCTTGTTCCGGTTTTCCCATAGTGCTCTGTCCTTTGAATTTCAATTCTAATGCCTCTGTCAGTATTCTCTATACATGGCCAAACCTTTATATTTATTTCTCTTATAACTCTCTTAGTGGGTTCTGAATTCCAGCTTCTCTAAAAGTCTCATTTCTGATCTGATTACTTCTTATTTTCCCCCTTCAGTAGTTCTCAGAAATTTCATATCCATTTCATGAATTTTGGATTGTTTCTGCTTATAAGGGACCACATTTCTGTGTTATGTTAGTGACTGTTTAAAATATATTCTGTAGTTTGTCATGTATTGTTTTGGGATCCATATATTTTTTAAAACAATAATTTTAATTAATTATCCATAATATTGATCCAATCTGTAGTATAATTTCTACTAATACAGATTGTGACTGCATTCAATTTGTCACATATTGAACTCAATAGTTTCACAGCATTTCCATGTTTATGATTCGTCTTCTGGGTTATAACACCATGTAGTTTTATGAGTGGATAACATTTCAGAGGAATATGCTGCCTCAATCTTCAGGGTTGAAGATGGAGGCAGGGTGTTCCTCTGAAACTTCTCTTTCCCCAGAGAACTGTACAATGTCAGAAACCAGAAGATACACTCTTAAAAAGTGCCAGTATTAAAATATCAAAGCTGATATTACCATATTTGTAACTGTTGATTTATGAAAAATGTCTTTGCTACAGAATTTGTAACTGTTTTTATGACCTGTCAACATACAGTATTTCACATACTTAGTTCCACGGTCTTGTATATTTTGCTATTAAACTGAAAGCCAAACACAGTTTTGTGCAGCTTCCATTGCATTTACAGTCTACAAAAAATTGGCGTTAGCAGTAGAGGCATATCTTTCAGAGATCAGTTACCACTGACATTTCAGATGGTTATGGTTGTAAGTTTGTGCAAATGCCAAGTTGATATTGTTGAAGATAAGAAAATAGAAAAGGTCGCCTCGTGTGATATGACATTCATACCAAGTCACATGAATGTCAGCCATTTGGTGTATATATTATTAGGGAAGCATGACAGTATTGTATGTTAGGCTTGATTTTGTTGATACAGTAGAGAACATGCATTAAGAATTATAGCACAGAAATATTGAATTTACATATTCATGGCGATTACTGTTTTCTGGGATTTGATGCCATATAATTTCATAGGTAGGCACTAATATTTTGAGGGGGACACAGATTAGAAGATCCTGAAGATGGAAACAGCGCATTTGTCTGAAATGTTCTATCTACTGCCTACATGGCGTCACATCCAACAAGACCATAGTCTTCATAGACATTGCTGTGAGAGTCTCAGCTCTTGCACATCAGTAAGTTCGTGTTCATTCTGGTTCAACAAAAGTTCTCCTTTATTTCCAGGGTGGAGCAGTTCTGAAGTCATCAGATTCAGCACGAAGGAATGAATTAAAAATGAAAGTGGAGGAGTCCCAAAGAACGGTAAATAATTAGTTGTGACAAAGTAATGTCATAAGGTTCGTGTCTTCCAAGAGACTCACTGAATCTATAATGCAGTCAACACAATGTTACTCTACAGCATATAAACCAGTGTACTGTATTGTCTCCATATAAATGTTGACACTTATACTGTGAAATCCATTGTCTGTATACATCAGTGCCCTGTTCTTTCAGGTATTGTTTTGCTACTGTTTCCACATTTCAGTTTTAAATCTTCAGCCTCCCACACATTGCTTCAGGACTGGAAACAGATGAAATAATGTTTTGGAGATAAAACTGTTGTTATTCATTAAGTGCCATGACATACATCTGGCAGAGACCACAGTCCCTTTTGAATAGATAATACTCTTTTACATGGAGTATTGCCTGTATTTATGATTTGTTTAATGACACTGTCAGTAGCTCAGGCTGTATGGTATCAGATGGTAAGAGGATTACTTTCTTGTGGGATATGATGCCATATACCTTTGTAGAAGGTTCCCAGTGTTTTGGAGGAATGTGTTGCTTCCATCATCAGGATAGAATAAACCTGTTCTATTGTGTACCACACATTTAGTGCATATTTAATATTTTATTATTATATTCAAGTGGATCCAATTACAGGGTGAGAAACAAATTCATACACCATTGGATATAGAATATGTCAAAATCAAAACAAATGTTCCAACCAATCACTGGAACAAATCAGAATAACATAATATAAAACATTGACAACACAGTCACTGAACATAATAAAATGTTACTACAACAAGACTTAAATACTAGGTGAAAACATATTAACCATTTATCTTATAAAATTCATCCACTTTACAAGAACAATGCATATGAATGAATATTTTCAATAAACAATACAATATCAATAATGAAATATCAAATAATGTATGTTACATCACTCACACATCAAACTAAAAACTATAGAAACCTCTAACATGCATCAACAATAAATGGAATAAATAACTTCTCTCAGAAGTATATTAAATGACTATTATAATAATAGATACATACGAGGGTAAGTCAATAAGTAAGTTACAAATGGGTATAGAACTTAAACAAATAAGAGTACTGATTTGAAAAATGCTTTTATTTCTCAACATAATCTCCCTATACATTGAGGCACTTGTCCCATCGTTTCACAAATCCCTGAAAACCAGCAGCATAAAATTCTTTGGGCTGCTGTCAGAACCAGGCGTGTTCACACGGCATGGCCTACCTCATAATGCATGACAGGTTAGGTTTTCACAAAGTCTGTGCACGATGGGTGCCGTGCATGCTGACCTCACAACACAAAATACAAAGAATGGGTCTGGCATTACAGCATCTCAGTCGCTACCACGATGAAGGACACGATATGCTAGCCCGAATTATCACAGGTGATGAGTCTTGTGTTCACCATTACCAGCCCGAGACAAAGTATGCATCAATGCAGTGGAAACATCCTGCGTCTCCTGCCAAAAAGAAGTTTAAGGTGACACCATCCTCCAGGAAAGTGATGCTTGCAGTCTTCTGGGATCACGAAGGCATCCTGCTCACCGCATTCCAGCCTCAAGGACAAATCATAAATGCCGACTCCAACTCTAACATCCTCAGAAAACTTTGTAAGGCCATTCAATGGAAGCATGCAACCTGTCATGCATTATGAGGTAGGCCATGCCATGTGAACACACCCGGTTCCGACAGCAGCCCAAAGAACTTTATGCTGCTGGTTTTCAGGGGCTTGTGAAGTGATGGGACAAGTGCCTCAATGTACAGGGAGATTATGTTGAGAAATAAAAGCATTTTTCAAATCAGTACTCTTATTTGTTTAAGTTCTATATCCATTTGTAACTTACTTATTGACTTACCTACGTATATTCATAAAACAACAAGATATTGTACGTTAAAATAAATAAAAGTCATAGTAGGTATGTATGCAGATCTAAAGTAGATGATTATTTATATTTTTAGTTAATAGGACTTGTCAAGGTTAATTTTAGATACTATTTATAAGAACCAAGATCACCCCTTGTGTTCCATTCATAATATTCATTTAAAGAATAAAATGAACCAGCAAGAAGAAACTTTTTAGAACCTGTTTGAATTTAGTGATATAATTTAATAGATTCCTGATGCCTTGTGGTAGATTATTGAATATCCTAATCCCTGAATAATATACACCCTTCTGCACTTTAGCCAATTTATTAATTGGAAAATGTAAGTCAAAACCTTGTCTGGTGTTAATGCTGCATATAGCAGAATTAAATTTAAATATATCTAAATTCTTAACTACAGAAATTGATACAGAAAATATGTAATATATCAAATGGTAAGAGGATTACTTTCTCGTGGGATATGATGCCATGTACCTCTGTAGAAGGTTACCAGTGTTTTGGAGAAACATGCTGCTTCAATCATCAGGATAGAAGAAACCTGTTCTGTTGTGTACCACACATTTAGTGCATATGTAATATTTTATTCTTATATTCAAGTAGATCCAGTTACTGGGTGAGAAACAAGTTCACCACAATTGGGTATAGAATGTGTCAAAAATCAAAATAAATGTTCCAACCAGTCACTGGAACAAGTCAGTCATGTACCACACATTTAGTGCATAAAGCGATCACTGTGTGGCAAGAGAACATGAAATAATAGAACACTAGCAATATATATTCATAATACTGTTATTAAAAGTGAGTAGTTTCATTATGTCAGTCAGTCCTTGCAGGCAGATGCTGGGATAGTAACTCAGACCATTCATCTGTCCTCATGCCATTTGACACTGTGTAATCTGTGATACTGAAAGTGTCATAAATTAAGTCCTCCGAAGAATTATTTCAGTACAGTTTGTTTTAAGAAAACCAGAGGTAAAGAAGGGATGCTTTCACTGGTTCATTATGGTACTGTTAAAACTGTGTGGATGCAAGGATGAGATGGTGATGCTTGAGTCGTTCTCAGTTGCAGGTCCTGCAGGAGCACCAGGCTGCTTTGCTCGTTCTTCAAGAGAAAGCACAGGAGCAGTTGAAAGAAGCCAGAGCAGCACAGGTAAACCCAGTGACACAGTGATGACATGCTGCCCAGTTGTCAGTGCTGAAGGGAACATGTATAACAGTAGTTCTGGAAACTTCTTTTGAAAGAGTGGCTTTGCATCAGTTTAGTTTCATCTAGACTGTAACTGTGGGAGCTGTAAGAGTCCATGGTATCTAGAATAGGCTGATGTTCATGACCATGCAGCATTGTGACAGTATGTGTGCTGCAGCAGTTTGTGTGCCCACTGTAACAATTTAATGGAGTCTTCAGTGTCAGTTTTCTCCCATCCTCCTACGAGGGGGGACCCAAAAATAACCGGAAATGACCTGTTGCGCGCGCATGCTTTGTAGTTACGAGTTGTGCTGCTAGGTGGTGTTAGCTGGGGGTCTCCCGCGACTGTTAGTGAGCTGGCGTCAGTCTGAGTTAAGTGGTTTGTCTGTGGTGGTCTGTTGTGTGCGTTCCTGTTTCAACCCTTTGGCGATTAGTGAGATGGCCGACCAGAAGGAACAAAGAGTGTGCGTGAAATTGATGAAGATCGTCAAAAGACCATTGACCAACTTTCTGAGGAAACGAACATCTCATGGAGCACGGTCCAGCGAATTTTAACCGAAGGTTTGCACATGAGACGGGTGTCTGCAAAATTTGTTCCTCGCTTGCTCGGAGATGACCAAAGAGAAAACCGCGTGAATGTTTGCCGCGACTTGAAGAGTGAAGTGCAGTTTTCCCTAACAGCAAAATTTCACGCACACTCTTTGTTCCTTCTGGTCGGCCATCTCACTAATCGCCAAAGGGTTGAAACAGGAACGCACACAACAGAGCACCACAGACAAACCACTTAACTCAGACTGACGCCAGCTCACTAACAGTCGTGGGAGACCCCCAGCCAACACCACCTAGCAGCACAACTCGTAAGTACAAAGCATGCGCGCGCAACAGGCCATTTCCGGTTATTTTTGGGTCCCCCTTCGTATTTCATATCTCAGTCATATCAGCTAAAAATTAATTTCTGTGAAAATGTATGAAATGAAGGACTTTGGTATGGAAAACTGTAGAACTCCTGCCATCTGTTGAACCTGTATGTGAACTACTAGAAGTGACATTAAGGAATGTAAAGGGCAAAGTGACCATAGTAAAAGTAAGGTAATTTTGTTACTCTCTGACTGGCCAAGTGCTGTGTTAGAGATTGTGGCAGTAAATCTGTAAGTTGATGGCAGGAGGCTTCTGACAGGATAGCAAACAGTTAAGACACTTTCTGTTCATTAGTATAGAGGGATAAAGAGAATGTGGCGTTGTATGATGCATGCAGTCTCATAAGGTAGAGTTCAAGCTGAGTGCTAATTATCATACTGAGATGACCCTGTGTTTGTTTAGGGTATCTTAATGGCACGTGCTGTTGGAGTTCAGTGCGCCAGCTCCTCGCCATCTCTTGTCCCTCCCACAGGGGAGGAACGTTCTGCAGGATGTACGAATGGAATTTCAAATTCACAAAGTATCAGTGGTTCAGCTGGTCTCCAGGGGAATATGCAGAACATTTCTGATAGGCTCCAAACTCTCCATGAGTTGTATGAGAATAGAAACCAGGTAAATTATAATTCATGTTTAGAAACTGGAAATTTTCATGCATTCTGGACATTATCTGTTGTGCTGATTTTTACTCAAAATGATGTTTTAGAGATTAGGCTCTGTCTCTTTCCTCAGGTAAAGAGCCTACTCAGTTGGTCCCACTCAGTGGACCCACTCTCTGTTTCCAGAGATGGGACTGGCTTTCTCGATTGAGCCCAGTTGAGTAAGTACCGTATTTACGCATGTATAGGCCGCACATTTTTTGCCAAAAATTCAAGAGGAAAACTGGGGTGCGGCTTATATTCAAAATATTCGAAATCACACTTCATTTAAAAAAAAATATATATTCATAATTAGTAATACAGGGTGTAATACTCCTGAAATAATATTCCAAGAAAATTATTTTTTCTATAATTTCTGTCTGAAAATTGTGCTGCGGCCTATACACGCACGCGGCCTATACATGCGTAAATACGGTATTTTACCTGAGAATAGAGACAGAGTCCAATCTCTGAAACATTGGTTCCAATAATAAAAGCAATGGATAATGTCCAGAAAATCAAACATTGTATTAATATATCATCACAAACCTTTATGCCGAACTTTCATACAGTTTCCCATCATGCTGTAGCTTGGGCAGTTAGTTTCCGGCTTCCCACCACACCAGCCCAGGCTTGATTCCAGGTCAGGTTATATGTGATTTTTGGTGGACAAAGTGGCACTGGGGTTGGTTTCCTCCGAGTACTTCTGTTTCTCCTGCCAATTCTCATCTGTCATCTCAAGGTGGTACGATAGGCCAATTAGTGGCCAATATACCAAGTGGACTCAGTCTCGCCCCACCCCATGAAACTTAGGAAAAAAAAAAGAATTGCATTCCTGACATGAGAAAGCCAAACCAGGCAGCTTGGGGCCTCGTTGCACCAGCCAGATACAGCGTTGTATCTTTCAGTGCATATCACCTAAGACATTGACAGTCACAATGTTTTTTTTGTGTTTTTTGTGCTGGGCTAAATGATGAAGACGTTTGTCATTTTTACCGTGGTTTTTATCACAAGTGTTGTGATTATGGGCTAGTTCTTCTACCCTGAAGTTGAAGAGCAAGTTCTGTGAAATATTGATACTTATTTACCAAAGTGCATGGTATCACCCCACCAGACCACAATTTCAATTTTTTACATATGTTTCTAGACCATCTGTGGTCTAGTAGTCAGAGTTCCTGGCTACAGATCCAGAGGTCCTGGGTTCGGTTCCCGGTGCTACCAGATTTTGTGAGAATTAGTGGGTCTGGAAAAGGGTCCACTCAGCCTCGTGACAATAATTAAGGAGCTATTTCAAGAGAATAGCGGCTCCAGTCGATTAACGGCCGTTGGGATCTGTTGCACTGACCACATGACACCCTCNGGAATAGCGGCTCCAGTCTAGAAATCCAAGATTAACGGCCGTTGGGATCTGTTGCACTGACCACATGACACCCTCTATCCACTAAAGTTGGCAACTTCACCAAAAGCAGCGGTCTCTTGGTCGGTATAGTTCGCTTGTGGATTACAGGCCATGAAGTTTGTTTGGTTTGTTTTGTTCTTCATTCACAAGTTTTGAATTAACCATATTTCTTAAGTAAAAGAAGACAAGGAACTCTCATCTTGTAGCTGGGTAAGTATGGTGATTGTGACAGTATTGTGCTTCTACATGTAATTAAGTTTATGTGATTGCTCTCTCCAGCTGGTACAGATGCTTGGGGAGGGAGATGAAGAACTAGTGTCTGAGCAACTGGTGTTGCATGACAAGCTGCAGGAACTGCAGTACAAGAAACAGCATATGGACCATCTGGTGGCTGAGTTTCAGACTATCAACAATCTTCCTGCTGTAGCTACAGGTAAACATTACACTCACTTGAGAAACTAGCGCCGTTTAGCGGAGGCTTTCTTCAGAAGCATCTTGTCCAGAGATATCCATGCATTTTCGAACCCAAATTTCATTGCCATATATACATGGCACCATCGATTTAGAAGCTTTGTTCCATAGATATTGACAGAAAGTAAGAAAACATCAGACAGAGTCAAAAGCTCTTGGAAATGATTAAGATCACGCAGAACAGAATGTGTCAGTCAGCCTGTCAGTTTCATCTATGAAGAAATTTTACAAGTGTCTGTCATAAGAGACCATTATTTCAGACTTTCCGATCATTGAAATATATCATCACATTTTAACATGTGGATAACAGTATTAATATTGTGGAAAACTGCAGCACTTGGCCTGCTGGACTGCACCCATGCAGTTAAAGTAGTAGGTGCATGGACACTAAAGGTAATGCATATGATTTCACTGAAGAGTTTCATGACTAAATACATTTTGTATAAATCTAGGGACATGTTTGTGTTTGTAGGCTCACAGGCAGATGTGGGGAGCAGCAAAGATGGGAGCGATGGTGAGGCAGAGTGCTCGGATGGTGAGGCAGACTCTGAGATTGTGCGGGACAAGATAGCAGAGTTGAACAGGATGAAAGCACAGCTTGCCCGGCTGAAAGGGATCATGTCAGCAGTTCAGAACATAGAGAGCAGCGATGGAACCATTCAGGTGCGTGAGCACGCTGATGTGCATGGGAGAGAGAACAGAAAATGTAACATAACTGTCTAGTAATAACAGCTTGAAGAAAAAATAAATCTTTTGTTGTGTACAATTATTGACTTTTTGGATTTTATCCACTGTCCTGTTTTTTGTTTCTAAACAACGTTTCGGAGACTGGATTCTATCTTTGTCCTCAGGTCTGGAGATTGGGACTAGTTCTATCGATTGGGCCCAACTGAAAATACTTTTACCTGAGGATGGAGACAGAATCCAGTCTCAGAAACTTAAATGAGAAACAGGACAGTGGATAATGTGCAAAAATCAATAATTATATTAATATACCATCATCACAGTCTTCTAGATGTTTTGTTATGTGATTTGAAATCTGTGTCTGCCCTCCAGTGAGCACTCCTCTTGCGTCTGTGTCCATTCTTTTTCATGATGACAGTTTGAGTCTGAGATACAGCTGTACAGAGTAATGTATAGAATGTGTTCTCTCCAGAATGGGATTGACCAGGAACCAGGGTCAAGAGAAGATGGTGAGGACCTGGAAGCTGAAGAGCAAGCTGTAAACCTTCGAAGACAGAAGAGAGATAAAAGTAGAGGGGGAAGTGTGAGAAGTGTAGCACGCAGCAACAGCAACACAAGTGCCAGTGGAAGCAGCAAGCCTGACAACATTGTGCAGGCGGGCTCAGAAGTGGACAGAGCAAGGGACATCCAGCACAAGACTGCGTATGTGATCCCTGTTGCCTCTACTTAGCAGGAGCAGGTTTGCTTCAGCTTAAATAGATGGGTCCCATGGATGGTGGAGATAATGATGCTTGGGGCTTCCCCTCTAGACTGTCAGCCAGTGCAAAGTATGTGTCACTAGCAACTTTGGCCACACCATGGCTCAAGTGGTTAGTCGCTGGGTTCCCACTGTGGCGGCCCAGGTTTGAGCCCGGGTCTGATCAAGTGGGATTTGTGGAGAACATACTGGCACTGGGGCAGGTTTTCTCTGATTTCTTCAGTTTCCCCTGCCAGTCTTCATTCCACCAAATTCTCCATCATCATAATCACCCGGGGCAGATACAATAGGCCAATCAGTGGCTGACGTTCCAAGTGGACCCAGCTGAACTGCACCCCACACTATGCAAATTTAAAAAAATATGTCACTAGCAAAGGCTCTCAGGAGTACTGGATAACAGGAGGGCTGCAGGGGAATACAAAGGATTATGCTGGGGTGGAAGAAGCATAAAAGCTTGATGGGAATGTAGAGGGGCTTAATCCATGGTACTTTTTTTTTTACGACCTCAGTGCAACTCTGTGATTCAGTGTCTTGCATGAACAGTCGATATTTATTGACCTGATTTGGGAATTAATCACGATGTACACAAAAGCCCACCACTAGACTTAATCCTGGGTCGCTTCAAACTCGTTTACATCCTCACAGCTTATTTCTCTAACATCTGTTTTAATATTATCCTCTCCCCAATACTGTGTTTCTTCCCATGAGGACTGAACAAATTAAAGTTGCAGTAATGCTCTAGACTTGTGTTTAGGTAGTGTCTGACTTCAGTCCTGTCAGGGTTATCAGCTGTGTGTGAGTTTCAGTTTCCTTCTGATGGAGTCTGGGCCAATACATCAAAGCAAGCCACAGCCATCATATTTTAAATCCATTCACATGAGAATTCTTGAACATCTTCCCATCTCGTTTGACGGTGCATGTGCTACAGTGTTGTTGAGTATTGAAAGTGTTCCCATGAACTCTTACATACTAGTTTTACACTGAAGTGCCAGAAGTCATGGGATAGGTACCTAGTATCGTGTAGGACCCCTTCTAGCCCGGGGAAGTGCAGCAGCTCGACATGGCATCGATTCCACAAGTGGACAGAAGACCTCTGGAGAGATGTTAAGCCATGCCATCTGGGTAGCCGCCCACAGCTCCCTGGTATTTGTAGGCGCAGGATTTTGGGTGCGAACAGACCTCTCCACCACGTCCCATAAATGCTCAGTTGGGTTCGTGTCGGGCGAATGTGGTGGCCACACCATTCGTCGGAACTCTCCAGAATGCTCCTCAAACCAATTCTGGACAACTCCGGCCCAGTGACATGGTGCATTGTCCTGCTGGAATATCCCATCATTGTGGGGGTACATGAAGTCCATGAAGGGCTGCAAATGGTCACCAAGCAGTGTAACGTAGCGGTCACCGGTCAATGACATGTTTAGGTGGACGAGCGGACCCAACTCATGCCACACACCTCACACCAGTATGGAACCACCACCAGCTTGCACGGTGCCTTGATGACAACTGGGGTCCATGGCCTCATGGGGTCTGTGCCACACCTAGACCATACCATCAGCCCGAAACAACTAGTACTGTGACTCATTGGACCACGCCTCATGTTGCCAATCCTCCAGGGTCCAATTAGCGATGTCACAAGCCCAGGTGAGGCGCTGTGTCCGGTGTCGTGGTGTTAACAGAGACTCTGGTCAGTCTTCTGTTCCCATATCCTATGGAAGCTAAAGAATGCTGCACTGACCTGCTGGATATGCGTCTGGTACCTCCTGCATTGAATGTGGATGTGATTTCAGCCAGTGTCGCTTGTCTGTTACCATGGACAATTCTAGCTAGACACCGCTGGTCACGATCATTAAGCACCCATGGTCGACCACTGCACTGTCCACGGTGGGTGGAAATGCCTTCCACAAGGTATTTCCAGTACACACGTGACACCGTGGATGAAGGAATGTTGAATGACCGCACAACTTCGGAAATGGAATGCCCCATCAACCTGACACCCCAGACTGGCTGGTGTTCAACCTGACTCACGAGAGAACACCTCACAACTGACACTGCTGTGGGCATTCCCAAGCTGTCACGGGATGGTGGCGCCACTTAAAAATAAATTTACATACTGCTATCTAATGACTTTTGGCACTTGAGTTGGTATCTGTGCATCCTACATGCCCAAACATCGTGATCAAATGTTGTAGCTGAGTGGTTAGCTCTTCTGCTTCTTATTCAGGAAACCCTGGTATCCAGTCTTGTCATAGAGATGGCACCACAGTCCTACTAGGCATATGGCAGGATAGAACTTCAAGCTGGCCTGTGACTACTTCCTTCCATATCCATTCAAATGTTTGATTCGTTAGACATCCGACAGTTTGACACTGTATCATGTCAGCCACTGAAAGTTGTTAATTACCATAAATAAATAAATGAAACACATTGTCAGGAGCAAAAAGTATGTTATTGAATATTGCAGACAACTTCAAGAAGCCAAGGCACGGTTGCAACAGCTGCAGGACCTGATGGCTGCAGTGACAGACTTCCACAACCGTGGGCAGCCCGTACCGGACCAGTACATTGACTTGCTGAGCCAGGAAGTGGCCCGAGAAGAAGAGCAAGGGGTTGCCGGGAGAGCAGAGATTGCACCAACTACTGTCTCCAGGATGCAGAGGCGCAGTGTAGAAAGGGAGAGGACCCCAGTCAAACAGCAGGTCCTTGACAGGTATGAATTCCACCATGTTTTTAAAATTCTGGGATGAATGGATCATAGTTTATTTAAAAGCGCTTGATCAGCTTAAGTGGTTATTAACATTGAGTGGTATGAGAATGATCACGGTAAATTAGTTTGAAGGGATTGGGGAAGAAGTGGTTGCGGCCAGTTTCAGGATCATGTACTGGAGAGATTAAGGAAATCCGTTAATCACTTCGGTCATGTTAGTTAGTTTCCCTGCTAAGATAAAAACTGGGCACCCCTCCAATTGACTTTGAAGTATTACTGCTTTAGCCATCTTCCTCAGTCTTACTGTCTTTCTTTCTCTGTTCATTTACATTCTTCTTTCTTTTCTCTTTTGCTTCATTCTTTCTTGTGTGATGTATATCTTAAGATAGCGGGATTCAGTACCGGTGGAAATTATGAAGAGAAATAGATTGCACAGTTGCACAGATAGTAACACATTAATTGCTAGTGCTGTGACCTGGCAGGTTGAAGTTTACCATGTACCAGTGTCAGTCCTGTTGAGTGACTGAGCCTTTGTGTATGTAAATGTCATTTCTCCTGCATATATCACTCAGATGCAGAAATACAGCAAGTATAGACTATAAAAGCGTGAAAGAATCAAACTGTATGATAGTTGTGGTACACTGAGTTCCAATTTTTGTCAAAAAATGGCTGGCCCAGCAGGTGAAATCTTAGTACAGGGGTGTGACAGTAAATGCATTAATTTGTAATTTGTCCTAACACCTTTGTACGTAATTAAGTATGTGTCATAAGTTCTTATATGAACTTCTCATCTTTGTTGTTTTTAAATGAGTAGAAGCATAATTGTAAAGATTATTGTCTTCTGGGATGTGACGCCATGTAGTCTGGTTCAGAGAAATGAGCTGCCTCTACTTTCAGGGTCCCTTATATGTGGAGGCAGCACATTCCTTCAAATGTCTGAACGTCTACTGTATTGTATGTTGTCACATTCCCAGGGTATAGTGGTCACTGCTGTGAGAACCTCACATCTCACCAGGCAGAGTTCTGTCCCCACTTTGAACTGCCATGACAGAAATAATATGTGTGCAATGAAATATTTCCAGTGGATTGCCAGATGGCTGTGAGGTCACATTGGAAGTGGTGCAGGCCATGACTCGTGACCTGCGTCAGCAGACGCGTAGTCTGCAGGAAGAACGAGAACGATTGGTTTCAGCGCAGAGGGAACTGGGCAAACTTCAGCAGGTGCTTCCTCTTCGGGAAAAGAAGACCAACACACAGGTAAGAGGACTATGGTCAACCTGTTAACTGGGTATTGTCTCAGGAGCACCAAGTTTTTTGACTTATCAGTCATCCAGTATTCTAAAGAACACATTTTCTGTCCTCAAGTGAATGCAGTGGGGGAGGCACCTCTTTTGGGACCATTCTTTAGAATACTGGACAATGGACAAAGTCCAGAAACTCAGCAAACCTGAGTGTTACACACCACTATCAAAACGTTTTAGAATCGACATGGTATCATGTACTTACACAAGTGAACCACTTTGCAGCAATTTACCAGTTCTTCACTGTGTGCAGAACATATCGTGATCAATTTCTTTGTTGATTTCCTCCACAGGTTGATGCTCAGACACATCAGCAGCTGCTGCTTCATGCAGAGTTGCAGGCCAAGAGACGAGAATTAGAGGAATTGATGCGGAAAGATCAAGGGCAGACGTCGGCCATCAATCAAGATGTGTGCAGTGAAGTCTCTGCAGACAAGTCTGATGCGCCAGGTATGTGAGATGCTGGTGCATACGTGTGCGCCTTGAGGTTACTTCTGTGTGGCTAAGTACTTGTCAGCTGCTCTGGGAATTATTGAGAGGCTGTGCGCATGGGTATCTGGGTGAGTCTTTCCTCCTCTTTGTAACAATGCTTTCTCTACTGCATAAAGTTAATGTAACATGAGATTGCAAGATATGAAATTTGAGTAAGGAGATGGCCTGGGGCAATGAAGTAAGGTAGATACTTGGAAAAGCAGTGTGTTAGTGAGGAGATGAGCTAGTGAATTAGTTAGTGAGGAAGTAAGCTATGGGATGAGTTAATAAAAAAGTGAGCTAGGGCATTTGCAAGTATGTGAGCTACGGTGTGAGTTAGAGAGGAAGTTAACTAGAGAATTAGCAAGGGTGTGAACTTTGGGGTGAGTTAATGAGCTAGGAAGTGTGTTTTTGAAGAAGTGGGTTAGAGAATTAGCAAGCATGTAAGCTGTGGGGTGAGTTAATGAGGAAATGAGCTAGGAAGTGGGGTTTTGTGGAAGTGAGCTAGACAGTTAGTCAGCACGTGAGCTATAGTGTGAGTTAGTAAGGAAGTGAACTAGAGAATTAGCAAGGATGTGAAATGTGGGGTGAGTTAATAAGCTAGGAAGTGGGTTCTTGAGGAAGTGAGCTAGAGAATTAGCAAGTATGTGAGGTATGGGCTGAGTTAATGAGGAAATGAGCTAGGAAGTGGGTTTTTGTGAAAGTGAGCTAGAGAATTAGCAAGGATGTGAGCTATTGTGTGAGTTAGTGAGGAAGTGGGCTAGAGAATTATCAAGTATGTGATCTATGGGGTGAGTTAATGAAGAAGTGAACTAGAGAATTAGCAAGGATGTGAACAATGGGGTGAGTTAGTGAGCTAGGAAGTGAATAAGTAAATTGCCAAGGAACTTCCTTCTAGACCATGATAAAATGCACGTGGAAGTGACTCACTTTAGTATGTTTAGCATACAGTTTCCTGGCTGAAGGAACAACAAATGCTACGTGGGGTGGCTCGACACATGGAACACTGGATGATCTAGCAGAACAGGATAATGATATCCAGGAGCAGAGTGCTGGCTACTCAAGGTTAGTAAATATATTGACATTCTGCCGATTTGAGAGCATATACCCATTGAAGGTCGTTGTGTTTGTTTATGGAAGATAACAATTTGCTTTTTAACAAGTGGGTTTATGTAAAAGTGATATTTAAGGTAAAATGTCGCTGTGCTATTGGCTACCCTGAAATTTCTTTTAGTTTTTCTTAGTTTCTTCAGGAAAACATGTTTATTAAAATAGATTTGAACAAGTTTTGGTTCTAACTGAATTCATTTCCATAGTGTATCATACAGTTTATTAATTTCAACAGACCATCTAGAATTTATCGTAATTTACTTTAAATAGTTACACTTGCAGACACGTTATGGCTTGATTGGCTTTTTTCATTCCTTCTTACGTGATCTGAGAAGAAGTGAAGATGGCTGATGAAATCTAAATGCATTTGCATATGAAATTATTAAGAATTGATTTCAGTGAAGTGTATAGGGAGAGTTATAAGTAAGACGTGTATGGTTTATGTGACAATCTTGGTTGATCTCTCTGGCACTGAATGACATATAATGATCTTGAATGGTGAAGAAGTAGGAATGTAGAAGGGGACAGTTGTGACATTTTTGGACAAACTAGCCAAGTATTTGTCTGGGAAGACTGGGAGAAACCATGAAAATCCTTAGGCAGGATAGCTTGTGACATTGAGGTCTGAACTGGATACAGGTCTAGATTATGACTGCTGTGCCAAACTGCTAGGATGCTAGGATAGTACTTCCGATTGGGCCACAGCTTCCTTCCTCATCTTTTCCAGTTCCTTATTTACTGACAGTCATGTCATTGAACTCTACACAGCTCTGAGTGGGACAGCCCAGATAGCTCTGTCACTATAGCAAGTTGGCTTCAAGGTGGGTGAACGAGGGACCAGCGAATTGGGGTTCAGTTCTCCGCAATATCCTCATTGGCTCTGACGCCTAATCGGTCTGTTTAATGGGCACTGAAGGCTCTTTCGCTGGGGGTGACGCAATCAGGGGTTGAGGCTGTACATTCACCTCAGTCTCTAGTGTTAATGTTAAGAATGCCTGAAGCTATACCTCCATTTCTTCATTTGTCTTCATGGCAACGTGCTCACAGAGACAACTTTACTTTTGTTTTACTTGCTGAGTACAAATGTCACAATTATTAAACCTTGTGATGTGACAGTGATGAAGGCCAGGATGGAGATGAAGAGGAAATCTGTGCCCTCCATGCCAGCCCCTCCCAGCAGCTGAGACAAGCACAACTAAACAACAGTAATAATAACAACAAAGATCCTTTGTCACAGACAACAACAACCACAAGGTATGAACTCTTTTTAAAAAATCTATTTCAGTTTCTCATTATGGAGTTTTCTCCAACCTCCTGTCACTTCATACCTTGTACCCTTCTCCAAGTATAATTAGAATGATCAAGTCAAGGAAGGTGAGATGGGAAGGGCATGTGGTTGAATGGGGGAGAGGAGAAATGCATATAGGATATTGGTGGGAAAGCCGGAAGGAAGGTGACCACTGGGAAGACCAAGGCATAAGGGGGTGAACAATATTAAAATGGATCTTAGAGAGATAGGATGGGATGGTATAGATTGGAGGGATCTGGTTCAGGATAGGGACCAGTGGAGGGCTCTTGTGAACGCGGTAATGAACCGTTTGGTTCCATAAAATTCTGGGAAGTTCTTGAGTAGCTGCACAATTGGCAGCTTCTCAAGAAAGGCTCAGCTCCATGAGTGAGTGAGTGAGTTTAGTTTCTAATTTTATAAGGATCATCATCAGAATGTGGTTGCATAGTGTACAGGATCGCAAGCTCTAAAGAAAGAATAATGCTCAGATTAAAAAAATTAAAGTTTACCTGTATAATTAAATGAAAGTTTGGGAATGAGTATTTGAATTACGTCAGGAAATCCTGCCGCCATTCTTGCATGTAGCTTTTGATGATACATGGTGGCAACATTGTGTAGCAAATATCATAATGCCTTTGCGTGTTCTAGGTTAGGTCCAAAGTGTTAAAACGGGTAACTGACAGAACATTTAAATTTTGATAAATGTCTTAGAAGACATGCTTACAATATCTTACCAATATGTTTTTGAACCAGGGGTACCACTAGAGGCGGTCCCACTGTTGTATTTGTTTGATTTCCTCCTCTCATAATGGTAACTGAGTGAACTCCTGAACTGGGATCGAAACTGTTGATAATATCAAATAGGTCTTACATAAATATTTTCAATTCATCTGGCTCAGGATAAGGACCAGTGGTAGGCTGTTGAGAACATGGTAACAAACCTTCAGATTCTGATTGTGTAAAAGACAAGGAATTTCATGACAAGCTGAGCAGCAGTTAGCTTCTGAAGAACGACTGTTATCATGCTTAATGTTTGCTGTCTGGTGTCACATTTTGCAGGGAGCTGCTGAGTATGTCCGTAGAATCTGGTCGCTTGTCACTGTCGGGAAATATCAACACGGACAACAGTAATGCTGCAAGTGTAGCTGGATCTAGTGGCCGGGTCCCTCTTCCTGCAGGGGGTTGCGCTCATGCACAGAGGCAAGGTCCTGCCTCCCACAATGTTTGGAGGAAAGCATCTACAGGTGAGTAATGCATCTCACATTGTCTGTCTCTCTGCCTCATTGCTGTGTGCCTGAAGTGCAGTGTTTACATCTGTGATTCACAGACAGTGGCATGTCGGTTCCAAGAGCTGTGTGGACCCCATTATCTCAGCAGGCGAGGCAGGAGAATCTTTGTGCTGCAGAGGAGTTAGTGTCATCATCCAACAATCTGGACACCAATAACAGCAGCAGTTCTGCAACCCTGCATAACACAGGCCTTGTGGGCTCCAACACCAGTCCCAGCTGGTGGCAGCACCGAGCACTTCAGGTGAGTCCACTACAGAACAAGAGTGGAATACTTTCACTCTTTGCTGTTTTGCATGCCTCAGCGAATTTGATGTTCATGGATAGACTAACTCCATGGAGCTATCATTCTTGAGAATAGTTGCTCAGCCACTCAAGAAATTCCCAGCATTTTATGGAATCTAAAAGATACGTTACCTCACAGGAACCTGCCACTTGTCCATATCCTAAGCTAGATTAACTTGGTCCACACCATCCCATCTTAGTACTTTAGGTTTCATTTTAATATTATCCTGTTATCTATATATAGGTGTTCCTATTGATGTCTTTCAGGCATTCCTCCTTGCTTCCTTCAGGCCATGCTGGTTTCATCCTCCTTCATATTTATGTATTGTCCATTAAAACTGACTCATGCTGCAGATATGTTACCTAGACCCAGAAAGTGTTTTTCCCTGGATTTTGATAAACATTATCCATACTGGAAAATGTGTCAGATGAAAGTTGCAGTTACCAGTGATGTCTGTAGTTTGTGTAATGAGATTTGAACCTAGTGCACAACCAATTTACATCTGTCATGAAATACGAAGAAACACTTCAGCATCTTGGCTCACCAGTTATGGAGCACATAATCTCTAACATGTATTCTCTGTATTCAGCTGCAGCATCAGCTGGAGGTCACCAGCAACTTGTGCCAGAGCATGCTGGTGGAGCAAGCACAGCAGCAGCAGCATGGCAACAACTTACAGCCATACTGGGGGTTCCCCCCTCCACCATACCCAACCACACCCCACCCTCAGGCCCACTCCATCACAGCAGGTAAAGCACACAAAGATACACCTAGCAATATCATTGTAAAGTTGTAGTACTTAGTGCTGACAGTCCTCTGACACAGAGTAGGAAAAGTATTGGTATTGGTGGGGAGAGCTCCAGTATGCCGACAAGTGTGACGGGGAATGCGGTACAGGCGTTCTCAAAAGGAGATAACTTCTTACCTCATTGTGTTGCATAGTGATGGTGGTTTAGTCTTGTTGATGTTCACACATCCGACGTTAAGTTTTAAGTGCAGAATGGCAGCCTGTTATGCACTATACATTATTATACACTTTTCACTGTTATGTACATGAAGAGTTTATTTACATGTTACACGGGTCTATTCTAAAGGGGCAACACCGGCAATGTCCGCATAGATATCATCTCCGCATGCTTGTCCTTCCTCATTGCCTCCAGATGAATCGGAGCTATCATCAGAACTGTCATCACTATCACTGCCAACATGGAAGATGAACTCCCGTCTTGCGTCCAAAAGGCCTTCCCCTGCCATTAATTGTTGCTCAATGTTCCTTACATGTTGGCACCTACATTGCCATTCTTCTGCAGTTATGGAAGCCAATTTTTGGTCTGCCAGTTTAATGATTTCATCCATCTTAAAGGTATTGTTTTGAGCAACCTAATTTTTTACGGTGGCCCATATTAACTCAATTGGGTTGAGTTCTGGGTGATACAGAGGGAGTCATAAAATATTGTGATTGTGTTCTGTGAAGATTCCATCTATTTTATAGGAAAGGTATTTCGGTTTGAGTGGTAGGATCATATTATATATGTTGGGATTCTGCAATGATGAAAAATCAGTGTTATTGAAGGTAATAGATGGAAGTGATATTTTAGCCAGGATATCATAAAATCTCTTCTTGAATTTGAGTAAGGGGCTCTGTTTAGTTGTACATTATGGTAGGGAGCATTATCAATGACAAGGACAGAATTTGGGGGAAGGTTAGGAATAAGTCGCTCCTTTAACCATTTTTCATAATTG